CTCGTCACGCTAACGCTCGCGTTTCAAATAGATGTTATGAACTTATATTACCGCGGGGGAGAGTTTTTGCAGAAGAGGCCTTCCCCATATTTGATTTGTAGGCTCTGGTATCAGTCAATCGTTCGCGGAGAGATTATGAGAACCTCGACTGGTTCGAGGGGGGGGGGGGTTCAAACCTGGAACCATACAAGTGGTCACCACGCCATTTGCCTGAGCTTTTTCTAGTGGCTAGTGCCTTAATTGCGATATAATAATGATTAGCATAGTGTGACGTGAACATACTGTAATCACAGGTGTCATCCTTAGCGGTACTGGAGGACGCTACGGAACGAATGCGAATCAGTACAGTAGCAATGGGACATGTTCGACTACGACTGTACATTATTACCCGTCATTTTGAACAGTTTGGCATATTGTCGTGAATATAAAAAATGAATATTTGGCTGCCGTAGCTTTAACAAAATCGATATTGAAATTTTTTGTTCTTTATCGATGCCTCATGTTTTCCACTACCTCATTTTCTGTAAATGTTTTGTGTATTTTCGGAAGTTGACTCAGTCCCATTCTAGCCAGGGCACTACGTACGCTGAAGTTCTTCAACACAGGGGGTCGTATTAGGTCACAGGAGTAGGCGGGGATCCATTTCTGGCCCCGATAGAGGTAAGTCTAGCGGTTTATTTTCTCTCGCTTCATGAAGCCATATTTCCTTCTTGTTGTACTTGCCTGATTTTTTGCCTTGGCGTTGTTTTCTAAATTTGTCTGCTGCTGCTTATATTAACTACTATTTTCTTCAGCTGTTTGCGTTCGTACTGGTGGTTTTTTCGTTTAGCCTGGTAAGTTCAACAGCGTCTTAGAATCGAGACAAGTCGGGCCACAGCCGTATCCGTTGGCTAAGCCCGCAGCAAAACTAGATTCTCAGTCGAGTCGTAAGGGGACATTTTGGTACAGGCAGGTTTAGAACACACTGAAACCTTTCGCTACTTCAAATTGCGAATAAGGGCCACAGTAGTCTTTGCTCAGCCGGAGAAGGATCTCATGGTATTTACTGAACCTCTCCCCCTGGTTTCTTCTCCCTCCTGCTTATACAGGATCCTTCGTACGCCTGGACGCGATCATCTCTGTGCATCTTCACGCACTGACCTCGTAATCCCTGAGATGGGGTAGGCGTGGCTGCGTACTTCAACTGAACTTAGCGGTGGCTGAGCTTTAGCAGAGATCTTTTCATCTTGACACAATTGTGGTCGTATCTCTGTCCGACACAGAACAAGATGACAGTTGTCTCGAATCGAAATATACTACGAGTAACCCATTCTATTCTATATTGAGAAACCACGCCTACTCCATCTCAGGGATAAGGAGCATAAGTTCCGTTCATCGCCGAAAAAACAGAAGAAGCAAAGTGGAACAGAGCTCAATCTCGAAGAAGCCTCCGTAAGGCTGTGGTATAAAAGCCATAAAGCTGAGAGACTAGTAGGCGTCCCTGGTAGCGTAACGGATAGAGCAGCTGCACGGAAAGTACTGAGTACGAGTTCCAGTCCCTTCAGGATAACGACATTCGCCCATAAATCAGCATTCGTTTGGTGATCATAATGCGGCGTTAAATAGCTATTAACATTACTAGAACAATTTCAATGTCTATATGATGCAAAATGCTCCCCGTCGTCTTCAATTCAGTCGAACGAGACACACAAATGACTAGTTGAATTTGCTATGCCATCAGTAATAGAAACCGATAGACAGTAATTGATCACGATTGGCTCAAATCAACTCAGGAGAGCTGTCCGACAGGTTAAACGACATTATTGGTTCAAGTATAAAAAGTAAATTGCAGATAGCGAACATATCTATTGTATGTCACACCAATAAGTCTCAAAGACATTTTCCGCGATTACTTGGAACGTGCCATTCCTTTACGAATACGATGAGCAGGTCGTAGCCGCGCATAAACATCACTTCGTCACCCGAAAGTGTGTGTGTGCGCGCTGCGTATGTATGTTAAGAAAGTAAGTGGCTTTCTCGCATGAGTGTGGCTCCGCCTTCTTCAATCTAATACCCGAAAGAATATAGATATAGCATACCCACTTAGCACTTACTTTTTTTAACCTTATATAGCTGTATGACTGCTGAACTGACCAGTTGATTGAATTCTCCCGCCGGCTTGTCTTGTTTTATCACGTTTCGTATGAGGTCTGGATCTCCATTGCTACCCCATGCTCATCTAATACTGAAAACGAGCCCGGGAGCCCTGGGGCCACTTGAGCCTCTTTAAAGACAGCCCCCGCGATCAGACGTTGTTGCTGTCCTCTGCTGTTGTCTAAGTGAGTCTAGCCTCCAAGCGAGCAGACTGTTCACCTTTTCGGCGATCTAATTGTGAGGCGTTGAAGCTGCCGTATTAGCCGTCAAGTTGTAGTTCTTAACTTTCCTCCTCAGTCGGACCGCCTTTACTTGGCTAGACGGTTCTCCGATCCACCTACACTTCTAATGTTAGCGGCGGGCAGCTGCTAATGCTTCCTGGATAATTTTCTGCTCTCCTTCCATTACAGACTCATGTGTGAAGGTGATGTACAATTCAATTCAACCCATTTTCGCGAGTGTGAAAACGTTGCGTAATAAACGTATATAGTGCAGATGTGGTGATGCCGAGAGAGCTCGACTGACGCACAAAAGGCGCGTTTACCGTAATCACAAATTCAGACACCGTGTTGATAAAATTCCTTTTTCCTTCCCAGAGTTTTTCCTCTGCTTTTTTGTTGTTTTCTTTTTGTGTTCCTTCATTATCAAGTGTAGTCTGCGAGCAGGTGTGATAGAGGATGACTTGTGAGCTTAGGCGGCTGCACAGAGACCGCAGGGAGGTGTGACTGTGAGGAGCGATTTAGTTCATGTTGTTCTGGAGGACGCTTCTTGCCTGTTTTCTTTTTTGGGAGATTGCTTATCAGTGCTGTTTTCATAATGGAAGAGTCTACGAATTGCTTGTTTATCGCGTGTGTGTGGCTTTAACGGATTTCTTTCTTGCCCTGTTCTTTCAGTGATGTAGTCCAATCACTATCGTGTATAGAGTGTAGTTAATAGCGCATTCATAACTCAGTGGCGTTGACTCTGCATTCCTGTCTAAAGCATAAGGCCGATAATTTCTATAATGATTGCTGAGAGTTATGCAGGTCGATGCGATATACAGGGGGCCGAAATTGGCGGAATAAAGCCGGAGAGTTTAAAAGTTAGGAGCATTATGCTCAAAAAACCAACACCCTGTTTTGCACACGCTTTCTTGTTTTTTGCACAACAACAGAACAGGAGGCTTTTTGGTACGAGTTTCTCGTGGCATCGTGCAACATATTGCTTGATATGATTCAACTGCAGGTATGTATTCATTATCATCTTGTAACAAGGCTGTACATATCAGAGACTTGTAATTTCATAAATGAGCCAGAGGCAATAGCGTCGATATTAGCGTGGATATGCGAATAATGCGTAATATAAATCCGTCAATTTGTGGTGGTGGGCGGTCCGTCGCGCAGCAACGGGGACCGGGTCGGTGTTGCAGCCTTGACCAAGGGGCGCTACTAAGGTACTTTCTTTGGACACAGGGTGTTGCCAATGCTTTGCGCTCAGAGGTTGCTGGAATTCTGTCCTGTTTGAGGCGGTCACGACGGCCCACGACCGCTCTGGTGGTTTATCATTGCTATCCTTCTAGGGAGCCTCTCTCTCTGGGCACGAATTTTATGTTGCCAGGCAGTGCTCTCTCTCTGATGGCTCTCGTTTTCTGGTACGTGTGGGCCCGCCACTGGGTCCAGCCCCGGGGCCGCGGCCGCGCGGGCGCCCGGGCGCCGCCCGGGCCGCCCGGGCGGCGGCCGCCGCGGCGGGCCGACCCGCGGCGGGGCGCTGCGGGCGGGCGGCGCGCAGGTCGCTTCCCCGGCGCCGGCCCCCCCGCCGCGGGGGGCCGCCCGGGCGCGGCCCGGCCCCAGGGGGCGCGCAGCGCCTTGCTTGCGCGCATAATCGTTGACCTGACTGAGAACGTATCAGCGAAGAAATCGCTGAACGAACAAGATCAGCCCAATCTATAGCGATTTCATAGTACCAGATACCAAACAGTCATATTCGCATGAGAGCAGACAGGGGCGTTGTGGCTGCAAGAGCGGCGATTATTATGAGAGTTCGGATGAAACAGATGCATAGGGCTATGCGTAAGGAAGTAAAGTCGACGTAGGAACCCACATCCTTCGCCGTGACTCCTTTTTCTCTGTGATGAGTGGCGTTTGCGTACCGTATTCGTTACCATTCTATACCATCGAGTAAGGATTTTGTGCACCAGTGTTTCAGGGAGCCTGTTCGAGTTGTTGGAGGGGCAATTTGCACTTTTCGCTAGCTTCTTTTTGCCAGTTTTCAGCGTTACAAACAGCGTCTTATTTTAGAAGGGCCTTTAACTCGGTTTGAAGCTGCGAACTGATACAAGTGGGCCCCCTCATGGTTACAGACGAACTGTCACAATTTTCCACAAGGTAGCCACCTGTACTGAGCCCGCTTGACTGAGTACTATTCGGTGCCCTGCCAAGCCGAATCGTGCCCATTTTTATTATTTGTGGCTTTCTTCCCCCAGAAGTAATCTGTGAAAACGATGCTCTCATCTGTAACTTGCTTTATAAATTTCTCGAAACTTATGAAAAACGCGCGACTCAAGTGCTTTTCAATCCCAAATCGAGCACATGCACAGCTCAGCCGATCAGATGGGCAGAGATGTCGCACCATTGCACATCTCTCACTGGGCCACCTCTCCTCCGACCACGCCCATACGATCAGCGTGGACTATGCCGTTAACTTTGGTAGTCATCCAAATTGCAACACATGTATAAATTGCCATATTTATCATATAGATTAATAGATATATTGTCATAATTCCATCACAAACGCGTCATTATGAAGTCGATTGTATGTCGGCGGGATGATGGTCACAAAATGCGTCAAGGAGGCAGGTATAGATCCCGCAAAAAGTCAATTTAATCAATCAAACTCATCTAAGAAACAGGGAAAAACGGAAAAAAAACAAGAACAAAAAGATAGAGAAAGAGAGGAAGTATAACCCTCACATTCTAGGCACGTGGATTAATGTACGTTTGCGCCTTGGCCCGTAGTCAATATTTTCGGTACAAAGACATGCAAAGAAGAAAAGGCACGGAAAATTGATGGAAAAACAAAGGTAAAAAGAAATACAAAAGAGAGGAAGAAAAACTATTTACAATCAGAAGAAAACTTAAACAAACACATTGCTATACGCGTCGCTCGGAAAGCTAATTGATCGACTGGAAGAGCGAACTGACCTCAAAATAAGCACAACAACACCTATCGATATGGTAGGGTTACCAGTCATCGCTAAGCTATATAAATGACCGTAATCCTTGATAATGCGTGCTACTTCAACTTCTAGATCGCTTAAAGCTAGCAAAATGCCGGCTTCAAAGAGAGTGAGAGAGGGCGTGGAGCTACGAAATTCGCTACCGTAATCACTCTAGAGCTGCAACGGACGGCAGGGTTCAGATTTCGCGATGACGCGCGTTGACGAGCAATTGCAACAGCGCTCCAAGTGTAGGCGCGAACGCAGGCGCATACGGGAATCGACCGGCACCGACCGCTTCTGCCGGCGCCAATCGATTCCCCTCTGCGGCTGCGTTCGCGCCTTAAGCCTGGCAGCGCCGGACGCGATTCATCGCGAAGTCTGAACGCTAATTACCGCACATAAACTCCTTGCATGTCTGCAGATGCACCACTACCGTAATCTCTATGCACGTTAAATAAGTATTGATTGGCTAGAGATCATTATAAATCATTATTGACCGGCAACGGTGTTTTCAATGTTAACGTGGGTGTCTTCAAACTGTCACATGGGAATTTGAAGAGACTGCTGTTCAGCGACGACAACACGTTCGCCGGGCTCATCATCGTCGCCAACGGATGCATCAAACCGTTAGCGCCACCTCCAGTGTTTGGCGTTGATACCGGAGGAAACTGGAAGATATGAGGCCCGGCGGCTGTCGGCGTCGTCAGTGGAGACCTGTAACAATAACTAAAACTAAAAAGCGTCTTAGAAGATCAGACATTACTTGTTTAAAAGACAAAAGTCAAAGAATAAGCTTTTCATTTTCAGTTTTAGTTTTGTAGGAGGGGGGGGAAGCGATTGTTTTAGCTATGTTGTGAAGAAATGAAACCCCTTTTCACATTTCCTTTCGAGTAGTACGATTCGGCTTGGGAGGCATTTTCTCCACCAACCACTGCTAATGTGGAGACCAATCCTGTGGATTAGCAAAAGCTCCGTATACACTTGACACAGGGAGTAGAAACACGCTAGCGAAACTTTTTAATTTGCCCCTCCCAAGAGCGCTCGAGTTCCCCTTAAATCAACAGGTCCTTTGAAAACTGTTTTCTTTAATTCTGGATACACTGAAAATGCAGAAAATTCGGGGGCCCTTATTGATCTACGCCCTACGGGTTGCTCTACTTCTGAACCCTGATCAAACATAGCGTCAACTGACTGCTTCGTCAATAGGACCCCCTGTCTGTTCTACTATCCCCCATCTATTCGTCCCACTTATCCCACCATCCGTTGAGCGGTTAAGCGTGGAGGGGCAGGTTACTTGCTACGATTAATTGTTTGAAATCGCTAAATTGCTAACCGAAAAAAGGTTAGCGTGGCTCCTTTTGGGAGGAAAAACAATCAATGAAAAAAATTCGTGGGCCAAAATACGACCCCTTCCTCCTCCCTCAGCGACCAAAGACGATATTCTCGTCGAGAATACCTCGCCATTCATTTTGACGCTGTTTTAAACCACCCTCACTCAAACAATGAGGATCTTTCGAGGATCGAAAGATCCTCATTGTTTCAAAAATCGACCATTTCTGGTACGCACTGTGTACTGACGGAATCGACGAGAACTTCATCGAAAAAACCAGTACACGTAGGCGGTAATCAACGATTCATCGCTAAACAGCCCACTTAACAGTGCAGTAATTGGAATACTTTCGCGTCGGAGGGTGTGGCGCTCTTTCCGATGTTAATAGTGGTGATGTGCAGGAAATGTCATACAACTCATCCGTTAAGACCGCGAGGACAAAAAGTATTGACCGGATTATGGACAGTAAAATAACTAGTAAGTGGGAGCGCTAGTCTCTTTATTAATTCATTTACTGTGCTCTTGGTGCGCTATAACCAGCAGGCAGTGATACAGAAGAAAAAAAAGTAAAGAAAGAGAAAAGAGCAACAGTCTGGCAGTGACAAGCCTGTAGGCGTGGCTAGCCACCCCGCCCCAGATGGACGAGTTGCTCTGCTTGGCCGTTCAAATTCGAGCGTATAAGAGGCGGGAAAACTCGAAATCGCATTTGAATTATGCTGTTCCAATCGACTAACTTATGAATCGAGAAACCGCGCCTGCCACGACGCCGCGCGCGACGACGTGACGGATTACGATTGTCTTGTCCCTTTCCCAAGTTGGACTTCATCTTGTATTCCGAGTCGAAAGTTCAGAAACCTCTCATTGACGTCAAAATAAATGGGACGGGAAAAAGGATTTGGTTCGACTTGACGGAAGAGGAGGAGAAGGGGAGCACTCTGCACTTTCGCTCTCGCTTTCGCTACTTCCCACTGTTGTCCAGCCGTCAAGTACAGACTTATGAAATCTTGTGAAGCCATGACGTAAAATCAGTCAGTCCATAGAGGCTACTTCTCAAGTGTTGCAAAAATCAATACGACAATGGGAAGTAGCGAATCTGCAAAATGCCCTCAGTCCGAGCTTGATACGCAGCGAGAATTCCCAGTTTTGCCACTTTAGAAGCATTTCCACAATCAAGGACGAGGGAAAAAAGCTGTAAAGTAGTCATCTACCCAAAGGAAGGTTACGATCTGCAACACAATGGACAGCTTGCTCACTTGCTCTCTATAGGGCACAGGTCTCTGCGGGTCTTGGCTCACCAACCTGAATCAATTGAGACAAATGCAGCGGCCTGCTGAGTAACCCTCAGCGTAAACTACTTATACTATATTTTCTCTTTCATTGTCGATTTCATTAATCCAGCTGAGCCTGACTCATGAGTGATACTATACGTAAGAAGAGTCGTGTAACTACCGAAAAAGGTGAATAGTCATATTTGCAGCGAGCACGGGCGAATTCGGGATTCCGTTGCCGCTGCAGAATATCCGGCGTCCGGTCGAAGGGCGAGGGTGCACGCTACAGCTTGAAGTCGAGTTGTAACGAGTAATGTGACGCACTCTGCTGCCCATTCAATTGCTATGATACGGTGAGATCGCGCCGATGCCCGGCACGCTCCGCGTTGTGTGCGCCGGGTGACAGAAGTTGAGTGGTTGCCGACAGGTTCAGCGGATCGGGACGTTGACGACGTGGGACCTGAAGAACAGTGCTTATTCTTTCTTTGATGAAATTTGCCAATTTTTTGAAATCCGTTTTATCACACTGGGTTGTTTACTTAACTTCATTCTGGGATGTTCTCTTACACAGTTTTCACTCTCTACGGCTTGGGGAGCGCGTCAAGCTGGGCCAGGTACCGGACGACTTCCAAGGTGCAATCGGTCCGGTCCGTCCTAGGGATTCGGCGGCTGAGGGGTTGGCCAGGCCTCCAGCCGCTTTCTCCACCACAAATAATGTAGTCGGCTGCTGGCTCCCACAAAGGCGGAAAAACAGACTGGATTGCGCTCCGTAACAGCCCCACCCCCCTCAGCAGCAAATAACGGCTGCAGACGCATTTCTAACCCTTCAAAATATACTACCCGTACATCAACCAACCTCCCACCACGGCTATTGGTGATGCACGTCGTTTTCTGGACGAATCAGAATGTACTGAAGCAGGTCGTGATGATGGTCCCGGAGGTGTCACGCTAAGCGTCGGCAATGACGATACACCAGATGATGAACCAGCGCTATGCGCTGAGCATGAGCTAAACGAAAGTAAATGATGATGCGTTAGCAGTAGTATATATATCAAAATAATACTAGGAATCCTAGGAATTATATGGCACAAGAGAATATTAATCTCGAGAAATTCGCAGTTTTTGAAATCGAAAATCATAATTTCTTTCGAAAACTCAAAACACTGCAAGACACGAATTGTCGCTGTGTTTCGACCAAACTAGACCACAACCAGATGAGGTATTCCAGGTTTGCAGGAATCCCAAACCAAATTGCATTCAGTAAGCTACTGCGATGTGACGCAGGGGCCAGGCGGTTTCAGGCTGAGTGGATGTGATAGTCCATTTGATAGTTCAAACTACCCCTGGCCAGTTTCGAGCAAATCGAAGTTCCAAATCTGAACTTCGAAAACCGGCTGCATAGTCCGCCTAGGTGTGCTCCGCCCGGCCGGGCTACGTAGTGTCAGATGAGTCCCTTTTGAGTCCCAGCGCAGCTGCAGTGAGGGCCGGGGACACATGGCCACATTCGTCACTTGACCTATTCAGTCGCGCGTTTTGCAAGTCTTTACTCTGTGAAGGCCTATGACCCTTGTGAAAGCTGACACAACGCATCGCCGAGCCTTCATAGGTAAAACCTATTAAGTCCATCATAAGCTCACGAATGGCCTTTTCGAAGCCTCCATATGGGAGAAGAGTAGCAAAGTTGCTGAATGCCCGTCGCGTGGCCCAGTCTGCCCCTCCTTCGCAGATTCTTATTAACTAAATGTCAATAGTAGTTCGATAATTAACATCTCTTACCATGAAAATAATGATTTAAATAGTAAACAGTATTTTCCATTGGAAACGAGGCCGGGGGTGGGAGCGGTTTATATATTGCTTCTCATGTCCTCCTAGAACTCTGGAACTCATGCACAACATTAGGGCTTGTTTGTTACAACCGCAGTTCTGGAACCATGCCAACATTCTGCCCCTCCTTTTCCCACTTTTTCAACCCCTCAGCTGCAACATCACATCTGTCCAGTCAATTTTGTAATCTCACACACCTCCACACACTATAAGGTTGTAGTAAATCGACTGCCGATACGTTTTTTTGCCATTGCATTACGTAACCGTTCACATCTCTCCGCCGAAACTGGGCCAATAATAAACGCTCGGCTCCATAGCGCTCACTAGCTCTCCATCTCATCAGCAATTTTATCACACTTCAAACACCCACGCCTCTCTGACTCATACTGCACAGTGACATATAATTCATTCCATTAAGGTCCTGATAACAAGCAAAACCACGCAAAAAGTGCAAACAAATTTTCAGCAGTAGCTCTAAAACCTCAAAAACCACTGATAAGCGCTGAACTACTGTGCACACTGAGGGGTTGCTTGAATACCGTAACCGGAACTGTGTCAAGGAGGTGGGTAAGACAACCACAATTCGCCGCGCCGCCGCGCGCGGCGCATTATGCGGCGGTCCGCGGTCAACTTTCGACCTGCGTCAGTTTATCAATTGGAGAAACAACGCATAGGAAATTTAAGCTAAAAGCTAGGCAATATTCCCTTTAATTGTATCAAATTCTTTTCTCCGTTCCTTTCTACGTTCAAATCGCGTCCGCCTGCCAGGCAACTCCGTTCCATCGCGCCGCGGCGCGTGTTGCTCACCATGCGATTATGATTATCCTGTCATTTACCCAAAATGAATTTTCCCAACCCTCGTCTACAGGAGCAATTTGGTGCCCTGTTATATCCGCGAACAGAACAGTTAATAAGGCCCCGTACAAAGATCCAGCCAATTTTTGGTGCGTTGCGGAATCAATTAGTGCCGATTAACTGGCGCAAGAGGATATCTTCTGTTCACGCGCCTCACAAGGGGTTCTCATTACTTGAGAGCTTGTCACTATTAGTCGAGCCTGAAACCTTGATGTATATTCGTATGAGAAACCAGGCAACTACGTTGGTTGACAACAGACTACCGAGGAGATTGCCGACCAAGCGATCGCCTGCAATCGTATTCACGTTCTTTATGATAATTCGACAATGATGATGCGATTTGTTGTCCTAAACTGCTTACAAGAACTTCTACCTTGTTAGTCGGCGAAGGTGATCTAAGCACTTGCAGTCGTGCTGGCTCGTCACTCAGATTCAATTGACTGGTCAACTCGGGTTGGCGCTGCATAGCTGGTCAGAATAGGCATCGATGACTATTCTTAAAAAAAATGGCCATTTCCTTCAGCGCGAAATCAACAACTTCCCGATAGGCATTAACCGAGAGCAGCCTAGTGATTTGAAGTGAAACGAGATGTACCCAGGTTCCAAGCATGACATCCACGGAAACTCGCTCTTAAATAGATATGGCCCCACCGATATCGGCCGTGGGGAGTGGGACCATCCGTTGCATCGAGGCGCTGAGAATAGTAAAAGTACCCGCCTACCAAACTAGCGCGCCCAAAAATGACAGAACCGCGCCAAAAACATAACAGAGATAAAAACTTTCGTCAGACTCCAAATAAGACCCCTACCCCTTTGAGCTGTAAATACGATCACCGTCGAGGACCCCTTGACCTTCGCACTGCTTTTTCCAAAAACGATCAAGTGCGACCACCTGAGAAAATCGATCTGAAAGCAGTCCTCGTTGATCGAATGGGCGGAGAAAGTCAACTTCCACGTCTTTCTGCGCCTATTTCCTCAGAACAATGTGCAAATGACGAAGTCACTGTAATTGACTGTACCCTATTCGATCTTCCATTGCGACGACTATCATCTCAGACAATCTATATTTTCGCGGTTCCATGCCATAATCTAACGACGGCTGAAAACGGCACCACCAACCTGGTGGCGTAACGGATAGCGCACTCGCCCGGAAAGCGTGAGGTGTGGGTTCGACTCCCGCCTGGGGCACGACTTTTGCCCACAACTCAGCATTCTTGCTTTGAGGACTTTTGCGAAGCGAATTTTTCCAATCCCAGGCAAAAGTGCCCACTACAATACTTGCTCTGCCTGCCTATAAAAGAGACCCATTATAAGCCCCAGATAACCACCCTCTTTCTGCCACGAACATAATCCACACTCACATTACGCTCATTATACACTATAATATGTTTTTTAGCAAGCTCTAATGAGGAGGCTCACTGTAATGACTGCCTCCGTTATAAGCGGGTCTCCCCCTTCGAGGTCCGTTAGGATTTCTAACGTTCAACTACTCTTTCAGAAAGTGCTGCTACTGCTACTATCAGAAAGCACTTGAATTCATTCGCGAAATGAAAATCGTTTTCAAGAGTATGTGGTGACTGCCGACGTCACGGCTAATTGACAGCAAGGATACAAAAAACCCAGGCCGCCACATATTTACACCATGGAATTATAATTGATTGCCGTTTCATGAAGGTCTGTATAACAGTCGCTGAATTCTCATAAAAAGCCCATTTCATCATTCTCTTGTTACTTGTTATTGTCGTCACCAGGAGAACGCGTTTTGGACCCCTACGATTTATCGGGATTTTCCCTTTTTTTAGACATCATTGAAGGTTAAGAAAACGACGCACCATGATCCGGCTTACATGGTTCTTCCTTAACAATGCTCGGAGTCGTTGTCGTCGAGGCCGTCGTGAGCGCTGGTTGTGACGGGGGTGGAGCAGGCACAGGAGCAGGAACTGGAGCCGGATGAGCGTCAGGTTTCGACGTTACGCTCGTATTGCTCATCGCTCGACATAAACTCATGTTGTATGCGACTGGTTCGGTAATATTCGCTTCGACGAAACGATACACAAACTTCTGGCCAATCACCTGCAACGAAAGTGAAAATGTACGAAAAAGTAAGATTGATCACTAGCTGATATTTCAAAGTGTTGGTGAATTCCATTCACTTTTCAGTGGTAAATCACGTCAAAATCTAGCCGCTAAGAGAATGGAGGGGGCGGTCAAGAGAGTAAACATATAAGCTATAATAAAAAGAAAGGATCTGCCTAATTATACGATTTTCAGGAGTGTGAGGCACACTCATGAATAGGACGCAGTTCGCTTTGAACGCCGCAAAGGTTTCTTCTTAACATCGATTTTGCGTGGGCTACCAACTTCCCGCGCGCGTTGTCGCGTGCGACTATGCGTAATGCGTCTTATACCCCCGGAAATAGGGTACTTCTGAACTATTCGTTACGAAGAAGCCTCAACTGGAACAAGAACAGCCGCACATTGAGGAAAAGCTTCTAAAGCCGGATTCATTTTTGGCTGCTATTCTCGCCTCTGAAGACTCTTCTGGTCGCTTTCTTGGCTCCGCCCACGTCCACGCCCCTCCCATTACCGCGGAATCAGTCTCTAAGGGCTCTAATATTCTGATTCTCTAAACTGTAAGAATACAGAGTATTATAAGTCTTGGAGACAGATTCCGCGATAACTGGATGGGCGTGCACTCGCGGGGAGCCAGAAAACCATTGCGCCGATTAATAATAGGATTTAGGTTTAGGATTCAATGCTTGTAACCTTAAAAGCAGTGGACACGAGTGCTGAGGCGGGTGGTTGTTGCCAGCGTCATTTTGAGAGGGCGTTGGCCACACCTCCTACAAAGCGTTGGACAGTTTGACTTAATGCCCTCCATCAGCCCCTCCACCAGTGAGGCTGGCAACAACTGTCCGTCTCCAGCAATCGGACCCACTGCCTTTAATTTATACGCAATCTTTCATTTAGCTCGTTCCACTACTTTCATGGCTTTTCTGGCAAAATGGTAATATATTTTTATCTGTGCGTTGAAGAAACGGGTCAGTCATGAAGATGGTGTAGGGCTGCGAAAAAGCGCGAATAAAACTGCATTAAGCTGCTAATATTGAATTTCCCAAATCAAAATTTTTCTTTACCAAGATTCTTCAAAAAATCAGCTATTGATTCAGATATACCAACCTTTTTGATTATGTTTTTGTCGTAGTAATATCGAAGTGCTCTGGATAATTTATCGTAGTTCATGTGCGGCTTTGCTTTACGCTGTCCCCAGAGCCGAGCGACCGCTTCTGCATCCAAAAGCTAAAAGGAAAAACGTTAACAGATCTAATTTGATAGCTATAGAAATAGGAAACTGAGTTATTCCCTTCATTTGACCTCACTCTGTGCTACTATGAACCTATAACAGACCATAGCGATACCCAATCCAAGTCGCAGGCATGGCGCACACCGCGAGGGTGAACTTATGCCTTGCCTTTCATTTGAATGATGGAAAACATTGAAGATTATGGTCAAAACTCAGCCCAGTAAAAAAGCTCGAGAGTTTCTGGCAAGCTGCCAACAAATGAGAAAGAACCATTTTCTGTTGTGATATCATGTGTTCCCCTTTTTGCGCGCGTCATGGTAAACAATCCTATGGAGGGAAACCTGCTCTCCAAGTTCAGCATTGAAGGAAACTAGAATGATGACGCCTTAGGAGTAAGTTAGCTATGTCCACCCCTGGGTAAGGAAAACAAAAGATCTTCCATTCTTTGGTAGATTTTTATATGTTTTATGAACTTCCATCTTTGTAGATTTTGTATATGTTTTATAACTTGATATAATTGGAACTTTCATTTTCTTTCTGACCATCATTTATTTCAGAGTTACAGTTCCTCCTCGCTTCGATCATGAAAACTTCATATAACTTCTCAGCTATTTCCACATGCCCGCCCATTATCATTCCGCCAGGACGCTTTGTCATTGAAATTTGCTCAATGAGGAGAGGAGACGGCAACACTAAGCAAACCGCGCTCAAGAAAAACGTTATTTTGCCATCTGGGAAAGGGGCACTTGCCTAGCTGGGTATTTCTCTTTTGAATATTCTGTCATGGATTCAGCCTCCTGAGTAGAAGATGTCTTCAATCATCTGATGAGTAATCGCATGCCGTTTCCACCCCTGCTCGCACCGATGGCTAAGAATCAGGTGTTTTTCCAAAAATTCTCGCTTGGTGACAGAGAGACGTAGTGGCAAGGGCGCCGCCTCCCCAGCAGGCGGTCGAGCGATTGGTATCGACCGGGCCCGCCGCATCGCCACTCAAGCCCCTGACTCCTCGGGAAGGGTAACTTGGTGCCACGTTCGTTTGGGAGGATTATACACTCGTCAAGTCCATCGACCAAGTCATTGCACAGGACCATACATCACGTCAATAGGCCGGCAACTCGAATGGGAATGCTTGGTGATAACCAAAGAAAGATCAGTTTCCATCAATCCTTCTTTTGGATGCGGCACGCACTTTATTCCTATCCAGAATCGTAGCAGCTCATCGAATGCGATGTGGCCCATACAAAGACTTGCGGAGAAAGCGATGTACAAGTCAGTACTCTTATCTTCTCCGCGACAAAGAGAAAAGAAGAAAATCTGGCAAAATTTGCCGGTTCCTGCTGAAGTAGAAGGCGTGTACTGGTATCGACGGGAGTCGATCCCAAGAGCTTTAAACCCGGACACGCGCTGTGAGGCGATCCCATATCCACTAGACCAATTTCCCGCCACGGAAATGGATCAGTTACCAGTCGGAAGACTATTCCGTTTACTTGCTCCCCTTTCGGATAAAGTTTCCTGATCTCTCTGGCCCTCATAGCCCTGAAGGGAAAGTAGTGGAACACGTGGCGCATACCCAATGAATCACTCCACAACAGGCACTTTAACCGCTTGCCCCCACAGCTGTCACAACTGCAACCTTGGCACCGCGCCTTTCACTCGCAATCATCAATGAAACAATGAGAACAACGGTTGGCATTACGTATTGTGACACTTCGATCGAAACAAGCTCACCTTAAACTCGCCCTCTCGATTCGTCCATTGAATCAGTTGTGGATGTTCCCCTTGTACTAGTAATTCTAAGCAAAAACTGCCACAGAGTAATATTCGAATCGACCGATGATCTATTCGAGAACTCGTTATCATGACGGGCAGTTAGGCCTATGGAAGGCATCGTGTCCATCATTATCACGTCGACTTCTGGAGCAGTAGCTGTTTGACGTTTTCGAGAAGTTGACGATGGTCTAACTCACAATCTGAAAACTTCACATTCATTACTATGCTTCAGATATAGGATCACACGCATTTACGAAAAAAAACCGGAACCGCAAAAACCAATAAAACACATCGATAAAACACATCGACAGGGTCTACAAGCCAGTTAAGCCGCGATAGTCTATATCACGATGATGAAAAGGGCGTGGCTGTGCTCTTTCTTGAACAAGGGGTAGGACTCATTGAACACGGAAGACTTCGCTTTGGGACAACTACCGACCTGTCTTGGACAAGAAATCATTACAATCAGGGTACGGCTTGTCGTTGGAGAAAACTTCTGTACCCCCTCCCTTTTCCTCCCAAATTCTCCAAACCCCCTACCATTTCCTGTAGTTCCGTATCTCTTCTCGAAAAAAAATAACTCCCCGAGGAGAGGGCGGGTAGGATGATGCAGCGCTAATCAAACGAGAAAACCAGAGAAAAGGTCGATCAAAAACATGTTTTCCAACATACCACACTGTACCCTACACTGACCAAATACGATCCTCCCCTCTGCTGGCGATCCCTAATGTACAGAGTCTCCCGATCAGAATCGTTCCAAAACGATCAAATCCAACCGAAAGCACGGCCGCCACTGCGTTCAGATTAAGGACGCAGCCACGCCCTCTCACTCTCCACGATATGCAGTGTATCTTGCAACATTGAAGTATTGAATTATTGAAGAATTGGAGAAAACGAAGAGCTGCAGAATTTACGAAATAGTTCATATATTCACGTCTCGATCTATTTTCACAATTCGTCTTTCGTTCAATTCTCAATTTTTAATCAATACGTATCCAATCCATTACGTCAAGTCTGCGATTTTTTATTTCTTCAAATCTCCACTGTTGCAAGCTGTGAGGGCGGCGTTAATCAAGCCGCTGGGAGGAAAAGGATGAAAAATGAGTGAAAGGAAGAGGATGAAAGTCTTCGCGATTGACACATGTCTTGAGACCACCGATAAGCGACCAACGTGGAATACACGGCGAAAAAATGAACGATAAAAGAGAAGGATGAATAAACGAGATGAAATCATGTTCGAACTTGTCTTGTACAAGACAATACAGAAAAAACATGGAAAATCTCGCAGAAACGTGTTCTACCGGAACAAATCATCTACTGACATGTCCAAGGGGCGGATTTAGCCCGTGGGACAAATCACGTGTGTTGTGGTCGGAAGATGACGATATGATTATCAGTCATAATCAGCGCGAAGGATTAGTTGAATAACCTTGAGAGTACCATTTTATAACAATGACGCTTAAAAGGCCCTTATAAGACCAAAGAACTTGTTTATCTCACTGCCAGAGGGCAATTGCTTTGCGCTCACTTTTTTTTGCCCAGAAAATTCAAAGAACTCATCAAGGTGTCAAAACGCACCCTCACTGACTTGGGAATCCCGCAAGATATGAGACCTGGTTGGAAGAGGACGCTGACTGAGTGTTTCCCTGAACTCCCTAAAACTGACATAAAAGTGGACCATGCGAATACGAAACAAATGAAAACCGTTTGGGGGACGATCGAACAGGGTATAGTCTAAGCTGGGGAAAACCCCAACCGGCGGCGTCGTAGTTGGCCGTTGGAGGCCAGAGGAATATCAGCCGTCTTCCAGATGACGCGCGTAGCGAAAATCCTGTACACTAACTCTTTCGACAGCTGAAACGAGTGTTGCTGATGCACCTCCTCCACCCTTCCCCGCATTCGCACCCACACGCCCGTTCATCGTGAAATTCGCGTAAAGCAATTGTGAAATTTTTGGAAATTCTCGGGAAAGAGATGGGGAAAGCAGTCACCCGAAAGAAAGAACATTTGAGAGAGGATCGTACATTGCAAAAAACTTCGCCATTGGCAGGATGTGCTCTGCGTCGGAAGCGAAGGGTAGCTCAGCTTCTGTCAGGCACGTGCCCTTAGAGGAGGTTAGGCAAACTGCAACATAGCCCAACGCCCATGGCACACACCGTCAGCAAGAAAAAGAAGGGACTGGTCAATTTGGTCGAAGGAAGCCCCTTTCCCTGGTCAACCCACTCCTACAGGTCTTGGCTTGTTCTGTTAGAAGAACTCTACGCGACCAGGACATGCCGTACTTCTTGAGTTCCCAGCAAGGAGGTGAGGGGTCGTCTTCGGCCGGTGTAGAATGTCCCCCTCTAGTCTCACTCGACGGCACTCAGGAGAAATGGCAGGAAACGAGGAAAATCCAGGTAGATGGTGGGTAGGACGGAAGATGGGGAGGGGGAACAAACGAGAGGAGAACTGGGGAAGGAGCTGGGGGTGAGTTGGAGAATTGGGGTTTTGGGGAGGGGTCGTATTTGGCAAAAACTTCAGGACGTCCCCTGTACGCGACCGCGGTTGCACTACCCTTAACCATTCCTGTTACCGGAAGAAATAAGAGCTGTTGAGCCCAATATGGACGAGTACGCTCGGCTAAGCTCCTGGAGGACTACCGGATGTGAGGTCCCGCCCCTCACGAGGACGAGAAAACAAGCGAATAGTGGTGGTCGCCGTCGAGGGGGTGGGACAAGTATGATCAGTTCGAACGGATGCACATTGCGGATATTAATCGTTAACCTAATTGACAGATTTATGTTCACGGGTGTGCGATGTGTGGTTCGAAGTGATTAGAAGACAACAACCGGGGCAACCACCGCGATCAATATCACCATCACTGGCAAAGCAATAGAGAGAGGGCGGAAGACGATCGGAAGTGAAGGAGAGCGCCAGCGCTCAGATGGAACCCGTTTATGGTGATGACGAGACGCGGCGCTCTATGTGTGTCCCGTCTCCTCACCGCACCCATCCCCCAACACAACGATGGAGTCGTCTGACGCCAGCTGGTGTCCGCTGCATTCACTTCCGCTTCGAGCTATTCCTTCCTGTATGGGGCTCCTTTGAAGAGCAAAACAGAGAAAATGACCCCTCCCCCGTCTTGAACGACCTGCGTATCATCTGGGTGGTTCCTGAAGCCGCATTATGCCCAAGTCAAGGTAAATAGGCGTTCGCGGCCATTTCTTAAGTGATTAGTCACCACTAGGGGCAATGATCGCCAGCGCCTTCCTTCTTTCCTCGGCAAAATGAGTAGGACATTATGAGGCCAAAACGCAGTCCGTTCTCACCCCCTCCCCCACCAGTAAGTTGATGTAGACCGCACTACAGTACCCAACGAAGCAACAAAGAATGGACGTGAAGCACGTATAGATAGGAATCCACCCTGAACAATCTAGCTTTCACTCCCAAAGCCACTTAGGCGCAGTTCGACTTGGTAGGGACCAGTGAGGCTCGCACAAGCTAGCCTGTGAAAACCTGCATGCTGTTCAAAATACTTGCATTTTGCAGATTTCGTTAATAACCTGCGTTAGTTACATGTAGCACAAAGAAACCAGCAAAAGTGGAAGAATGCCCTCTAAGCAACGCGCACTTGATAAACTCCGCTGAAAAGGATTAGGAGATTGAAGAACATCTCTTTATATTTTGTAAGCTGTGAGGAAAGTGCCAGCAGGTGGGGTCAAAAGGACATAGGCGCTTGAACGTGCAGCATTGTCCAGGGGAAGCAATCAAGTAAAGTGCGTCGACCATAATATTACTAATAGCGTGGCAAAATTTCGGGACGGAGAAAGTGGATGCAGGGCGTATTCCGAATATCCGAAGATGTCACCCCTCCCCCTTTTTTTTTTTGCTTAGATCGTCCTAGAATAGTGACAAGAAGAGTTGGGCACAACAGGCACGCATTTCTGCTAACGATGGGGAAGTGTGGTCGGAAAAACGAAAGTCGGCAAGACCAACAAGTTAATGATTTGCGCTTATACTTTCATCTGGGGGACTCACTCGGACTGGTTTCGATGTGAATCACTGGATAAATCGATCTATTTTCGTGAGTCTGAGTGAAGCACTGTTTCAGCTTAAACATCTTCACAAACATTCCTCATCTTTGTGCCATTATCAAATCCATTAACTTGCGTATGTTTTACTTCTGACATACTTGGAATGTTTGGATACGGTTTGCCATTGGTTAAATTCGTAATGGAAAGATCCTATCTTAGATTCGGATCAGCCAACTCTTTCATAGTCAGGACTGTTATTGAAGAAAGAGTGCAGTTAGTTACGGGAAGAAATGATATTTGTGGGAGCTGATGGAGCACGCGGGAACGCGAATCAGGCCATTTCTTTCTAGGCGTCAGATGCGGTCGAAATCGGAAATCGGGAACAAAGGCTGCCCTTTCAAGAACGATAAAATGGCGAGTCAGGAAGGGGAGAGCAGGGTGATGATGTACACAAAACTAGCACTGGTTTCCTCATAACGACATAACTGGCAGTAGTTCTACAATAAAACAGTAGCATGGTGCAATTCGCGCAAGTGACGTCATTTGCAACCTAGTCACCTCAAAATGAACCACAAGAGGATTGATCCCTAAACACTGGCGAATTTAAGCAGGTTGCAAAGGAGTTCTCACTAGTTTTCGTATCTTCTTCAGTTTTTGGGAAGGTGGGGGGTGGGAAGGGTGGCAGGGCGATACTGCGCACAGAACTGACTCCAAAAATCTAATCAAAACTACCTCAATGGGAGTATCTAAAGCCAGAAGATAAAAAGTTTCGAATCTTCGCAGCTGAATGGGGTGAAGGTTGAGTTCTGGGGGCTTTGAAAATATCCGCCAATCAATTTCAAATAAGTAAATGACTAAGAGAAATAATGACGTGGTAAACTAATGAATTAAACAAATTGAATGAGAAAGACAGTACGTGGATAAGTGGTAAATAGTAAGCAGAGCGAATAAATGAAAAAATAAATAATTACACCGCTCCGATTGGAAACCAAAAAGGCTTATCTGTTCTCTCTTTCGCAGCTACCGGAGTTTAAAGATCAAAAGGAAACTAGCGAAAATGCAAAAATGCTTCTCATC